TTATCTCTTGTGTTGCTCCAATGCACATAAATAAACGTGTACACCAAAAACATTTTTCTGGGAGAGATGGTGTGTTTTCATGAGTGCTAACACTTTTATCTATGACTGTTTGTCCTGATTCATGTACACACGTGGTCCTTTGAACTTGCTTTAAGCTGGTCCACGTTTTCCTTTTTGGTTCTGATCCGATCTGATCCTTCTCTCATACTCTCTTTTCTGTTTTCATGTCTCTGATGTCGTTGAAGCTCCACTGAGTTGCTGAACTTGAAGATTTTTTTGTCTTTTTATTCCTTACATTTCTCTTTTACGTGTCTATTATTATCATTATTATTGTATACAGTATACATGCTTAATCTCAGAAAGTGACACCTTCAGAGATGAGAGGTGAGGAAGGGGAACGCCATGGAGCAAACTGTTGGAATAAAACCCGAGTTCTTCAGCGAGGAACTGGACCTGATGTGTAAACTGTGTTCAAATAAAACTGAATCTTCGTTAGCATCGTCATGGACCTCTGAACTGAGACACTGTTTCCAGTATTTCCAATTTCCTGCTGCATACACATTTACCCATCAGTCAGAAACGGACTTAAAACAGGTTCTGCAACAGCAGCGGGTGGTCTTGAGGTCCAGTCATTATGAAGCTGTCTTTAAGCGAGCTTCAGGGGTTTGCGTGCAGATTTAAAAAAGCCTTGGAGGAAAAGTAGTTCGTGTTCAGTGTTTTTACGTTCTCGGTCAAAACTTTATCATCAGTAATATTATCATTATTGTTATCTGTCTATACATTTTCTATCACTTATCCAGGATCAGTCACCGGTTCTGTTCAGAACCTTTATGGACAGAATCTCTAGGTGCAGTCGGGGGGTGGAGGGTGTCCAGTTCGGCAGGCAGAGGATCGCGTCGCTGTTTTTTACAAATGATGTGGTTCTTCTAGCTTCGTCGAGCAGTGACCTTCAGCTCTTGCTGGGGCGGTTCCGGCCGACTGTGAAACGGCTGGGATGTGAATCAGAACCTCCAAGTCTGAGGCCATGGTCCTCAGTCGGAAAAAGGTAGATCACCTTCTCGAGGTCGGAGGGGCGGTCCTGCCTCAGGTGGAGGAGTTCAAGTATCTCAGGATCTTGTTCAGGAGTGAGTATTTTATTTCTGGATTTCGGGTAAAAGTTCTTAATCTTCATTACATTAATACATTTTTAATTATGTGTTTTTGTGTACAAGAACTTGTGTGTCCATGAGCGTTTTGAGACAGATAAGACAGTTAATAAAACTATATATGACAAATATCAGACTTTATAAAAGCTTCATGATGTAGTGTGTGAGTTTCATGTAGTGGAGTTTCAGAAAAAACACATTCTTCTCTAATAACCGTGTCCTGAACCCTCTCAGAGGGACTGAAGTCTTATTCTCCTCAAAACTTTGTGGGATTCCTTTAAATTCATATTTCACATAGTTCAGGTTAATTATTGCTTTACAGTAGCTTTGTGCCTCACCAATAATAGAAATATGTTCGATATGTGACCAAAGTCGTTTTTCCAGTCTCATCTTCAGAGAGGTGTGGAAGGATGGTGGGGAGGTGAACTGCTCATAAAACTACATGAACGAACATTAACATTCTTGATTTTTCTTCTTCTTTTTTTTTAAATTCAGGACCACCAGCATGGATGATTGTTGCTCTATTCAGCTTCCACCATGTGCCCTTCCTAAACCAGCAAAACAATGGACTTGAGTGCAAAAACTGACAGGAAGTTGGTTGTTTTGAATTTTTGTAAAATTAATTTTTCAGAACTGACTTAATTATCAATGACGAGGATGAATCAATGATTAATATTCATGAAAACAATGTTGATTTTGGTCATCATATATATACATACATATAGTACATACTCATACTCCAGTTCCTCCTTACCTGTCAGTTTCCATTGTCTGAGACACTCACTGAGGGCTCCATCTCTGTGGGCCATCTTCCTGACATAGTCATGGAGCTTGGATGTTTCATCTTGGATAGTGGCTCGGATGTGTACAGCCTCTGGATACTGACTTAGGGTGGAATCATAGAAAACATGAACCCCCTAATAACTTTTAAAAATGGAGCTGTACAGAAAAAAAGAGGACTTGAACACAAACCAGTCTGACAGTAACTACATGTCAACATCACAACCAGGGGGGAGAAACATTTATATTCTGTGTCATTCATTTATGAAGTTTGTCCACAGCTCCATAAAGAGGCGGGGTTTATGACCTATACTGCAGCCCGTCACCAGAGGGTGCTGTTCTCAGAGTGGCTTCACCCAGAGAGGAGGCAGACAGTGTCCATTCTATATACAGTCTATGATGTAAAGCAAAAACTCCTACAAAACATCAGAGAAATATATTACAATTATCTTTGGATCAGAGTGTGATTGGTCTCTTTTCTCATGGGGGCAGAAGTTCAGGCAGAAGCTGCTGCTCCCTGACTGTTTCTGTCCTGTTAAAGGGTTAAAACCGGATTTTTGTGGCTTTGAGCAGTTTGATCAGTTTTTAATTGATCATCTTGTTTTTTTTTTTGTTTTTTTTTTTTGCACACTTCCAGCCCTCCCCTTTCTGTCTTCAGTGGGTGTTCCCAACAGTAAGGATGCAGATAAATAAGGGCAGCAGACTCACCTGCACAGCATCCTCTGAGAGTCTTGAGAACACCTTCATCTCCATCAACCTCCAGCAGACCTCCAGAAGGTAAGACCACCTGAACACGCCTCACCTGTCCCCTCAGTGTGTCCTGGTTTTTCCCTAATATGCTCCAACTGCTCACACCTATTTGACAGTTATCTTGAGAATGATCAGTTTTATCTTGTATCTGCTGTTCTTCCTAATCTTGGTTTTCCAGATTTTTTGGAGTTTTGGTGTGTATAACCTTTTGCATGAACAAACTATCCAATCAGCGTGATAATGAACCAGGTTAACGAGGGGGCATTTGTACTTTCAGGAGGTGTCACTGTTGTCACCATGGTGACCTGAGGGCGTCTCCCACATTGTTGACTGATCTGCTGTCAGTTTAGTGTAGTTTTACCCTCAAGTCCTGTCTGTCAGCTGTTGTCTGTAAAGGTAGAAGGAATCGGTACATGGTGGGGTTAAACTGCAGGAAGTCACAGTTTAACCCCACAGTTTACTGAGATTTGAACACAGAGAACTTTTTTGGCCTTTTGTCTGTGAAAAAAAAAATAAAAAGTTATCTGGTTGGTTGAATCAAATTTCCGGAGATCAGCCCAAAAATAGCAGGAAAAAAGTCTTTGACTTAAAAACCCAGGATGACCGCGCTCTTCTTATGAAGATGTAGATAAACAATTATAAACAAACACATTTATTACTATAAATTACATGAAATTTATTGTACACTCACAAAACTACTACTGCTACTACTGATGTTACTATCAATAATTAGGGCTGTCAAAATTAACGCATTAACACGGATTAATCCATCATCAAAATTTTTAACACAGAATGACTCACGATCCCTTAAATGTCACATTTCAGACGGTTTGTCCAAGTTGTGTTACCGTAGTGCATGTGCAAAAGGGCAGTTGATCCAGTATTGACGGGCTCTAAAGAACTCGATGCGGAAGAAAAACCATGAGGGAAGAGTCTTTCCACCTCCAGCTTCAACTTAACGTGAAGCATACGTTAGTCGGGATTCTGCTATCACTTTGGCTTTCTTGAGTCACTTCGCTCATGCAAAATAAAACACAATAATATAGATTCAAAATAAATGATATTTAATCATCGAACACAGCAACCCTGCAAACAATCTGATTAATATCTTAATCATTTGAAAGCACTAATAATAGCAATTATAAATGATAGTAAGCATAAGAATAAAATATGATAATAATAACAATAATAATGATGACAATAATAGATATTATAAAAATAATACTTATAATAATGACTTGTGTTTGAAGTCTCTGTTGTCTTCAGTTAGAAACTGAAGAAAATTAAAAACTGTTTTAGCTTTAGTTGAATTATGACAATCTCATTGTTACTGTTATACAATTACCCTATACTGTTATTTTATACTGGATAATCAAATACTATCATTTTATCATTGAGAGTGTTTAAAGACACACTTGGTCTAAGTCCAACCTACAATAAAATATGAACTATTTTCATAATATGACCATTATGAAGTTACTACTGAATGAAAACTGTAATACTTCTATATAATACTGTACAAGTATTATATTTTAACAGTATTTTTATTGATTTTGAAACCTAGTGGCCTCAAGTACAAACTAACTCTAGTATTACTGTTGTTGTTGTTACTCATGTTTAAAGTCATTGTTGGCCTAGAGTACAAACTGAAGGAAATTATTATTATTATTATTCACTAACTATTCTACAGCATAGTACTAGAAGTATTTTAACTATTATCTTATCCCTGTTTTTCTAAACTAATATTATGGTATATTATTATAAAATTTTCTTCTATTGTCATCAGTGTATAGAAACATTATTAGCACAAAGTAAAGACAGTTTTACACTTTAAAATATAAAGAAGCATCGTTGCAGATTTTTGAATTTGTTGATAAAGTTTGTCTGCCGACTTTTTTCCATGATGGAGAGCAGACCAAGGGGATCTGAAAGACCCCTTCACCTGGCCGTCCTGCTCCAACCATAAAAACTTCCCCTACAAAGCTTTCTGAATTTGGATTCAGTGATAAACTTATTATCTTATTTTTTATAGAAAATCTTATCTTGAAGTTTTACTATCTCTTGATTCTTTTCATATATTGTATCTTTGATCATTCTTTTTTCTCTTCTGTAAATATCCTGCGGGAACTTTAATTTCCCCGAGGGAAGTCCAAAAGGATAAATAAAGTTGTATCTGGTCTCTGTCACCTCCCTCTCTAAACGGTCTAAAGTCAAAGAAATATCACAGAAACCCAAAGTGTCCCAGTCGGGTCCTGAATTTTGAGTCCACTTATTATGTCCGGCCTTTTTCCCTTCAGTGCTGTCGGGTGATCGACCTCCTCCAACATGATCCGACTCCTAATCCTGCTGGCGTTTCTCACCGGGCTGGAAGGTAAGCACGCTTGGCAGCCATTTTTAATCTTCCCACAGGAGAACCCAAATGACTGCGATTCGACCTGAGAGGGGACTTGGCGTTTGGTGATTCACAACTATAGTAACAACAATGAAAGATGGCAGATCTGTCTGATTTAAAGAGTGTTTCTGTCTTTGGAAGATTTCATCAATCTGAGAAACTGTCTTTAAGTGGTTTTCCTCTCTCAGGACTGACATCCTTTTTTCTCAGAGAGTCTTGTGGCAGATCTGTTTGAACGTTAACCCTGATGACCTTTTTTCTTTCTTCTCTGCTGGGTTTAGCTGACAGGACAGAACACAACAGCGACAAATTTGAAGTTAACACCTTCGCTCCTTTTTCTTACTTCGGATCACCAAAAACAAAAGTCTATGTGAGTAAGACCTGAGTATCTGTCTTTGTTTTTGGGGGGGGGTTCACGACACGTCAGTGTGTGTTTTTGGACGATACTTTACGCCAGAGTAAAGATCCCTGCACACCGGGAACGACGCAAATATATGATGCGACATTACGAAATATTCAGAGGTGAATTTTGACGCGCCTGACTTTACACATCAAGCGCGATGCGATTTTGTGACTTTCCGGGGGTAAAAAAGACGCGTCCCGGGTCTTCAGGTGTTAGACTGATCCAACAGCAGACTGAGTGTTTTCAGTTCTGATGTCTGTCTGTCATGATAGCATGGACTGAGTCGGGTCAGAACCAGATAAGAACATTAAACTATAATCCATAAACGTAAGGGAACAACGAGACCTGATGGTGCTGAGACTGAGTTTACAGTGAAAATACAGATGGTCTGTTGTATCTGAACAGGTTAGCTTAGAGCTAAAGTTACGGTGGACAGATGAAAGTTCAAAGACGTTTATCAAACTGTTAAAGCTCACAAACCATCGTCTCCACAAGTCGTCCTTCAGGTCGTTATCTTTGTAATGTTTGTGTCTTTGATCAAAAATCACTCTGTTCTCCGACATGGAAACAATCAGCCGGTCGGCCATGTTGGATATACCGCTGAATCTGTCATTGAAACAACATGAAATCTGATTGGTCAGAAGTGGACACACAGTATGGGAAACTTTAGAAAAATCGACCGCGAAACGAAAAAATTAATACCGCAATATCGCAGGACGGGAAAACGTCGCTGATGTGAACGCTTGTGTTGACAGGGTTAAAAAAAATATTGACGTCTGAAATTATCGCAGGAAATAACGGTCCCGGTGTGAAAGGACCTTGAAGTCGGCCATCTCCTCTGTGCACTGTCAGGGATTCAGGTGTTTGTTGGGCAGGTTTGGGGGCGGGGCTATCAGAAACGATCGCAGCTCTGCGGGCGACTTTCAGTGTGTTAAATTCGGCCCCTCTGAAATCTTCAGCAAAGCTTCATCTCACAGTTGAGGTGTTATAAAAGGATTCTTTCAGAGCTTCCCCTCTTGTAGAATTTTGGACACCACCTCCACCACCTGAGGATGACGAGCGTTTTAAGAATATGTGAGCGGATCTCTGCATGAAATGGCGATTAAGGTAAAGATGACACCTCTCTATGTCACATCTGACCTTAATTGAATAAGTTGTGCTGCAACAGCCAATCAGCATGGAGATCTCCTAGTCCCACATGTCAAACACAGCAGAGGGTCTTTTGTGAGGAAAGTGGAAGGTGATCTGATGCTGAGTCTTTACCACGGAGACAGAAATGAAAAGGAGCTCTCTGGGAGGAAAGTCAGATTCAGTTTACTCAACCATGTTTGACGGAAACAGACTGACGCCCCTCCTCCTCTGCCAGTGTGATCAGCACAGGGCTATGTACTGATTTATCACACACATCAGGCAGAGGACGGCTCAGGTGGAGTACCTGTCTCCTTTTACTCAGTCCTCTGTGTCCCTTGGATGTCTTTGAGGTGATTAAACCCCCTCAGCTCAGGCAAAAAAATTTAGAAAAGTAAAGAAAATTTCCACATGGAGAAGAAAAAAGACTCCAGTGAAGCCCGTGGCGGCCTTTTGTGATATACTTTTCCTGTGATTAAAACAGTGTCCAACCAAAGATAGAGATGATTGAAGGAATATAGAGAAAACAAAAACAGGGGCCTGATTTCTACTTCTTGCTTTTTGGGAAACTGAACCATTTTAAAATGATAAGAGGAATAAAGGTAAAGATTAAAGGTGAAAAAGGGCCAAAGGGGCTCTGGTTTTGGTTTACTGGATTCAGACGGTAAGCAGGTTTTTCTCCATCTGGGTTCAGAACAGAAAACTCAAATATGGGTTATTTTGTCATCTGAGGACACCCTGACCAACAGGCCCCAGATTCATCACATTAATAAAATGCTACTTTCATGTCATCTGTGATAAATCTGTCTGACTGAACTAATGCTGAGGACCGTCTCTGGTCTCCAGAAGTCTGTGAAAAGTTTGGGTGCTGAAATGACGGGGAAAGTTCAATTCTGTGTAACCTCGTCTCTCTGGTATCATCAGGTAACCCTCACCAACACAGAGAGTGTCATTTGTTTTGATGAGTACTACCAAGAAAAGGACAAGCAGGACTGCATCTTCCTCAGATCAAAAGCAACCAAGCCCTCTTTTACCAAAGCTTTCCTCTCTGATGGGTCGACTGCAGCTTTGAAGAACAGCTATTTCTCAACCTTTCCTGATATCACTGGAGTAACAGAGATTATATTCTCTTTGGGGACTAAGGAGGTGAGTGTCTCTCTGATCATTAACAGTCTGAGGATTGAAAGCAAAGACTTCACGAAGCTGTCTGTTTATCTTTTCAGGCTAAAATCTCTTTATTCAGCGCCGGGACTTTTGGGGGTGTAGTGATAAGTGTACACAAAGACCTGACAGTGGTAAGTTCATGAAATATGGATTATTTGTCCAGCTCAGGCTCAGCTGTGTCATTTTCTGTATTAGACATAGAGTGCTTACACAGCAGACAGGGACTGATTTTTATGGTATCCATGACCTTACATCATTCAGAGAGACGTCTTCCAGTCAGGAGTCTGTTTTCTTTTTAAAACTCTTGTTAGTATGATTTACCATCTGATGATTGATTTAAAGGGCTGGTTTGCTGCTTCTTCACATTTACAACAAAAACTGCAAAGTCACAAATGTTGCTGTTCATACTACGTGAATGCACAGTTTCTAATCACAAGGTAAATATATTTTGTAATTATCTGAGAAAACAGATGTAAACTGATCAAATCTCGGACAAACGGCCGTAGTTTATGTGTGAGATTTACACTAAAATTGGGAGGTAAGAATTATCAACTCTCCTTAGTAGTTCATCTGAGCTTGAGCAGAGCAGAGCGTGACTCCAATAGCATGTGAGGGGACACCCACAGCAGAGCAGGGTAACCACAGACATTATATACAAATATATATATATATATATATATATATATATATATATATATATATATATATATATATATACACACACACACACAAATATATACACTCACCGGCCACTTTATTAGGTACACCTGTCCAACTGCTCGTTAACACTTAATTTCTAATCAGCCAATCACATGGCGGCAACTTAGTGCATTTAGGCATGTAGACATGGTCAAGACAATCTCCTGCAGTTCAAACCGAGCATCAGTATGGGGAAGAAAGGTGATTTGAGTGACTTTGAACGTGGCATGGTTGTTGGTGCCAGAAGGGCTGGTCTGAGTATTTCAGAAACTGCTGATCTACTGGGATTTTCACGCACAACCATCTCTAGGGTTTACAGAGAATGGTCCGAAAAAGAAAAAATATCCAGTGAGCGGCAGTTCTGTGGGCGGAAATGCCTTGTTGATGCCAGAGGTCAGAGGAGAATGGCCAGACTGGTTCGAGCTGATAGAAAGGCAACAGTGACTCAAATAACCACCCGTTACAACCAAGGTAGGCAGAAGAGCATCTCTGAACGCACAGTACGTCGAACTTTGAGGCAGATGGGCTACAGCAGCAGAAGACCACGCCGGGTGCCACTCCTTTCAGCTAAGAACAGGAAACTGAGGCTACAATTTGCACAAGCTCATCGAAATTGGACAATAGAAGATTGGAAAAACGTTGCCTGGTCTGATGAGTCTCGATTTCTGCTGCGACATTCGGATGGTAGGGTCAGAATTTGGCGTCAACAACATGAAAGCATGGATCCATCCTGCCTTGTATCAACGGTTCAGGCTGGTGGTGGTGGTGTCATGGTGTGGGGAATATTTTCTTGGCACTCTTTGGGCCCCTTGGTACCAATTGAGCATCGTTGCAACGCCACAGCCTACCTGAGTATTGTTGCTGACCATGTCCATCCCTTTATGACCACAATGTACCCAACTTCTGATGGCTACTTTCAGCAGGATAATGCGCCATGTCATAAAGCTGGAATCATCTCAGACTGGTTTCTTGAACATGACAATGAGTTCACTGTACTCAAATGGCCTCCACAGTCACCAGATCTCAATCCAATAGAGCATCTTTGGGATGTGGTGGAATGGGAGATTCGCATCATGGATGTGCAGCCGACAAATCTGCGGCAACTGTGTGATGCCATCATGTCAATATGGACCAAGCTCTCTGAGGAATGCTTCCAGCACCTTGTTGAATCTATGCCACGAAGAATTGAGGCAGTTCTGAAGGCAAAAGGGGGTCCAACCCGTTACTAGCATGGTGTACCTAATAAAGTGGCCGGTGAGTGTATATATGTATATATACATACACATGTAGGAGTAAAGCCGCTCCACTGCTCCACCAATCAACCACAATAGAGGGGGTGGGGTCAAAACAATGAACTGTGCTCTCAGTCAGCTTCCAGAAAGCCTCTGGAGAGGTGACCAATGAGAAGAAAGTGTGATCTTAAAGAGACAGCAGCTACAGCGACGCCTTTCAGACGGAGGCTGAATTAAAGATATTTTAAAACACCAGAGTGAGAACCAGGAGGCTGTTTTTGATCAGAAAATCATGTAGAGATATTAAAGAGGAAATAAAGAGTGAAAAAAATGCATGTAGCTGGCTGGCCCATGAGTAATTGATGCTTATTATCATGAATATCATCCGTGTTAAACAGCAACCTTCTGCTAAATGATAATGGAGTTGTCATAGTAACAGGCTGAAAATCTCCAGTTTACAGGGTCACTAATTGTATGATAACATTACCCACACAGTACTGAACATTGTACAGTAAAAATAGACACCACCACAGACATGGACACTTCCAAAGAACTCGTCTACACAGCCGTATTTAACCTTAATGTAAACCGTGAGACCCGCTCTCTCTCCTTATCATCTCTTTGTTATTCTGTGTAGCTGCTGACCAATCAGGGAACTATAAATCTAATGACCACAGTTAGTTAGAATACCTGGGTTTTTACGACTCGTGACCTGTGACCAGGGTCAGGCGTCGTTAGAAGCTGGTTCCTCGTTTCGATTAAAAACATGCACGGTTAAAATGAGGGCGCTGATCAGACTTTTTTTTGGATGAAATGTCTGAACTTCTCCAGGGATTTTTTCATGATATGAGTTTCTCACAGGGCTATTTTCAACCAATGTATGAATATCAATCTTTGTTATCAAGTTGTTTGTCAACGAAAAGGTACACAGGCTAACCTCAGTTGGATATTTAAGTTGACCCAATGTATACAGTACAATTCTTTGCTGCCTCAATGTTAGCAGAAGACAGGTGTCATTTATTGTTTTACTTATCTGATTCTGACTGGTTGGAGGAGGATCGGTGCAGCCCGTCAAACACGGGGCGCTCGGGTATTTCTACTCCATGAATTTGGAGCTGTTCAATCAAGTTGGTCGTGCACCCTCCTGAGATGACGGCTCATTCTCCCTGCTAAAGTTTAGCCAAACTTTGAATTGCTGCCGCTGTGGGTCACTTCTTTGTTGGTGTTTGGCGGCGGAATCAAAATCTAAAAATTTCAACGTTCCAGGAGAATCGGAATGTTAGTCCCGGTTTCCATCGTTGCTCTAGACTTGATGCCCAACCCTGCCTGGGACACTGTAAAAATACATGGTAAGAGTGTACAAGTCATCTCCCCATGTACTTTTTAATCTGGGACCAATCAGAGAGCTTGTTTCATGGCTCTCTGATTGGTTAAGATGTAAGTCATGAAAGATAAAATATAAAAATAAAAGATACTAAGGCCGATGCAGAGACTTTAAAATCAGGGTAACGTGGGCTCTCTTTCTGGTCTCGGTCAGCTCTAGTGGAAGTTGATGTCGGGCCTCCTGATGATGTTTCCAGAAGGTAGCACATACAGTATGTAATATTAAAGCTAGGGAAACACCATAGTTTACACTACACAGTTTTGATGAGCATTCCCTAGACTCACACAAACTCTGCACGGTAAGATATGAACTGGTTAAAACCAGTTGGTAGAACGACTGTCTCCGATGGTAATCCTAACGTTGCTCTGTTTGTCATGGTCCAGGACTATGAATTTAAAGGAAACGGTCTAAGAGTATATGCTGGCAGAACCAGTTCAAAGAAAGTCTTAGGGCTGAGTGTCAGCTCATGCAGATACTCAAGTAAGTAATTTTTAAAATTTCCACATATCCTCTTTTTTTTGCTGTGATGAGTGAGCGATGGCATTTTAATCTTTCAAACGCTTTCTTTCACACAGATGGAAACGTTATGTTCTTCGAAAGAAGTGAAAAAATTGCGGACAAGTGTGAGACAAGAACCTGTAAACTCACTCAAGACCTAACTACAAATGCCCTAAAAGTCGACGTCGTCATGAAAAGTGACTGTAGCGTAAATCAGATCTGCTTGAAACAGTAAGTCAGTGTGATTGATATTTAAATGACAAAGCCATGATGAACATGCAGACTTTAGATCTGATCGTTTTATCCCCACAGAGGGCACCACCATAAACCATCCATTCAGAGAGCCTCCACTCTTTTAACAGGTGCAGCGTACAGGGAAGATTTTTTAGCTCAGTAAGCTAGCTTTTAATTAGCAGGGGCCAGGATTAGTAGACCTGTGTACTCATGGTCTCCCTTGACTTCCTGGACTTTGAAATAGGTGAACAATAAATGGGGAACTTTGCAAATGGTGAGGCTCTCCATTGAGAAACATATCAGGCAAAAACGTTGGTGTCACTTTGCTGTAGTACTGTGGATAGATGCAAAACCTTGAAGGACAACTGGCACATTATACAGTCAATGTGGTTTAGATTATTACACGTGCATATCTTAGAGAAGAGAAGGAAACAGGCAATAACCTTGGGCGTGGTCAGTACACCTCTAATACATCATCACTGCACCTGCAACACTCAGTGATCTCACCAAATTCAAAGCTGTACAGTTACACAACCAAGCACTGGGTGATGACCTGTAAAAGTGCAGGATTTCATCTCTTTGGTCGCACATGCCGAGTTCAATCAGTGCAACCGAATAGCTCAGGTTCCTCTAATATATTTGCTGGATTAGAAAGTGATAAATGGGACACAAGTTTGCCCTTGGTGAACAGGGCTTCAAGGTCACTGTCTGTTGGCTCATGTTTTTGTTTCTTGTTTCTCTCCATCTTTCCCTCCATCAGAGCCTGCAAGGATCACTCTGTCTGCACCTTCACCGGACCCTCCGTTGTTGACACCAGCGGAAAAGTCGGCACTATCAAGGATCTGTGTGATTACCGTCTGCTGTCGTCAACTTTACTGGCCGATTTTTCAGTGGAGGCAGAGTACAAGGATCGGCGTCGCAAAGATGTGAGCTTTGTGAACACAGTGAGGATAAAAAAAGGATCTGCAACATACAAGATGGAGCAAGGTGGGGTCTTCAAGGTGAGCGTCCTCCAGCTGAGTGACTTCTTTTCTGCTGGTTTTACTCAGTTAACTGAGTGGGGTAGGGTGAATGAAGTTGCATCCATCTCTTTCAGTTTCTATGAACTCTGTGGAAAACAGCCCTTGTTAGTGTGTGAGGTTTGATGGAGAGTTTTCTCAAATTTTCCTGCAGGATAAAGACGGGGAGGTCACCCTGACGTCTACAAGTAAGACGGTTGGAGACTTGAGTGTCAGTAAGGATGACAAAGGACTTACAGCCAGCTACACCTCAAAGGGTGTCATTATCATCATCATCTTTGATGGCTACACCGTCCTGATCACTATCACAGGTACAGGCAGAATTATGGGACTAAAGAGGTGGAGTGTTTATTTGGCAGAGAAAAGGAGACCTCAAACATCATAAATACAGTATTTTACTGATCTGATTTACATTCTGTCTCAACCTGTCCAGCAACCGCTAAAACGGTCGTAGGGTTGAAGGATTTATGTGCCAAAGCAGATTCAGCTACCTCCAAGCTTGTCAAAGGCAGGTGAGAGTCCAACCATGATCCCCATGCTCCTCTGAACCGTCCTCCTGATTAGTCTAAGAGTTGATATGCAAATAAAGGATCCACAGAACAGTCCTAAACTCATGTTATTTGTCGCCCCCTAGCTGTGCAACCCCACACAAAGACGACTCTACGGTTCCTCCGATTGACTGCAAAGCGGCAAAGCTGAGGTAAGATCTCAGATTGTCTTCCTGTTCTGGTCCAGGTTTGCTCCCAGTTTTGTAGCTTTAACCCATTCCTGTGTCTGTCTCCTCTTTCGAACAGCTGTGGTGTCCTGACCAAAGCGCCCTTCGATAGTTGTCACTCACACATCGCGGCGGCGGGCTACGTAAAAGCCTGCGAGAACACTCTGTGTGCATACCCTGCAGTTGACAACCTGCTCTGTCATTTCCTGGAGGCCTACGCCAGTGCCTGCAGCTCGTTCACCTCCAAGAGCGTGGACGGCTGGCGTTCCAGCTCCAGTTGCCGTAAGACCAAACTAATCAGTGTTTAGACCTGAGTTCACCAACAGAAGTGCGGTCGCACATCTTGTCCTTCTTTTTCCTGGACAGAGACACTCGGCGTTAGTGTGACCATTTCCAGGTTTTGCCTTGAAAACTTGGTTCTTCCTTTTCTGTGCACAGCAGTGTGGTTTGGCTCTAACATGTCTTTTGTTCTGCCTCTCTCAGCTGCCACCCCGAAGGCTCTCTGTCACGGTATATCCTGTGCTTCTGAGGAGTTTTGTGGTGAGAAGGAGCATACAGGAGGCTGGGACTGCTTCTGTCGGCCCATTTACACAGCAAAGTACAGGAAGTCCAAAACTTTGGGTAAGACGGCAGTTTCTCAACAAAGTTGGACTTGTTCAGTCAGAATGTTTCTATCCTTGTGTTTCTTTCTATGATGTTCTCTGATGTTTAGTCCCATTCAGCCTCTGAAACTCTGTAACTAGTGTTACATCTATTAACTGTATTCATATCCGTTATTCAGGGAACGCCACTCAGTGCAAAGACAACGTCGCTTCAGCCAGTTTGATCAACTGTCTCCTGAGAGAAAAAGGCATCGACTACTCCACCTTACACCTCATAGATACCACGTGCAAGGGTACACTGGTTGACGGCTTGTTGAACTTTGAGTTCAGCAGCGCTAAGATGTGTGGGGCTGAAGTCACGGTGAGTTTGTCAATTATCTAAATAATACATTTGAGCCAATTTGCAAAAGCATGATTGTCGACTTCAATGTGGTAAAGTTGATGTTATTCAGCTCTACATTTATTTGGTCACCTGTACTCCTCTGCCCTCTGTAAGTATCTGAGACAGGATAGGATGTGCAGATATAAATGTGACCCCTCATTTATTTTGGCCCCGGGGTCTCATCGTGACGAGACAGACAGGTGATGAGCTCACCTGGTCAGAAAAAGTCCCACATTCCTTCAGACCTGTGCAGACCATAACTCCAGAATACCAAACATTATGGGTAACCATGCCGGGAACTTACAAACCATATTTTGGTGTTCTCATGAAAACTTGAGAAACCTTTAAAAAGCAAACAGATCAACACCAACTAGACTGGTCCTGTTCACAGCCGAACCGCTGCCTGTGCCCTGCACAGGTTCTCCTGCTGTTACGCATGTGTCACATTTGACTTCCCTTTTCAACAGTTAAGAGTCACGAATAAAAATTTGCATTTTTACGATATCTGATTCTCTGTGATCCTGCAGGATGGAGCAAATGAAGTGGTCTACAAGAACTCCATTAAATCTGCCACGGCCACCGGAGATATCATCCGTCAAGATGAAGTGAACATCGATTTCTCCTGCAACCACCAGCAACCGGCAATCAAGACCGTGTCCTTCAAAATCAAGAGCAGGTGAGGGGACGCAGGTGTCAGATACAAACATTTTTGAGAAGAACTTGTTGATTGAAACTTTGTGACTTTACAACAATGGCAGTCTTTAGTGACAGACGTCATACCTCTGCCTGTACCAGCGTACCAAAGTGAAGCCAAAACACCCCTTATACAGAGGTCCACAAAACTGGTTCTTCTGTGGGTTTGAAACGAACCCTCACAGTTTCCCTACGTTCAGTGACTGTTGTGTTTGTGTTCCTACCCTGAGAGCCCAGTGCACACAGCACTGCAGGAGCCTCATTGGTTAACAGAGCTGTCAATCACAGTCCTTACCTAGTAACTGATTCAAACTGAACTCATCAGAAGCAATAACACTTGGATATAAATTACCATAATAAGAACTAACTGTAATGACAGAGAGCATGTCTGAGGAACAGCTTTTTGAGCTAGATTTGGATTTGATATTTTAACTCAAGTCTCATCTGTTCACATGGAGGAGGTGGGCTTTATGGGCGGTACTGCAACCAGTGAGCAGAGAAAGCTCTCAGTGTTTTAGCTTCACTTTTTGCAGTAACTGGAATGTGTGTGTGTGTGTGTGTGTGTGTGTGTGTGTGTGTGCTCTCTGCAGCTCCATCGTCACGCCGATCGTTTCTGGATCTTGGAAATATGAACTGACCATGAAGGCATTTGCCGATGCCGCCCTCTCTGCGCCCGCTACTTCGGTTCAACTCAACAGTAGGATCTGGGTGGAGCTGAAGACCACAGGACTGGATGAGAAGCTGGTTGCCATGGTAATTGACTCCTGCTGGGCCACCAAAGAGAAAAACCCAGAGAGTACACTAAAATACTACCTCATCTCCAAAAGGTGAGGCAGACGCAGCGGTGCCTGCTGCTGCAGCTCAGAATGAAACAGAAAAGTGTTTTGGTATCTCTGATCTGGTGTGTTTACTTCTGTCTGTGAGCAGCTGCGCTAACCCCAAAGACGCCACCATCAAGATAGAGGGAAACGGCGTGGGAACGTCCAACTCCTTCTCCTTCAACACCTTCCAGTTCACCAAGAGTGCCGGTGACGTCTACCTGCACTGCAGAGTCAAGCTGTGCGGCTTAAAGAAGGGCAAGACCTGCGCCCCGGTACACACACACACACACACACACACACACACACACACTTTAAAGAATAAGTGACCCGGTTTGACCCGGTTTACTGTTCAGCTTATCTTTGATGTTTAATGACTGTCTGTCCAACTGGAGGAAACCAGCCTCACTGGTTTCTGCCCCCTCCTGCTCCTCTCCCTGCTCACCTCTCTCTTTCGTCTTCTCTCCTCTATCCCCCCTCCTCCTGCTCCTCTCTCCTCGTGCTACTCTCCTTCTCCTGCTCCTCTTCCTGCTCTCCTCCTCTCTTCTCCCTGCCCTCCTCCTCTCTCCTCCTCCTAGTTCTCTTCCTGCTCTCCTCTATCCCTCCTCCTCCTGCTCCTCCTCCCTGCTGTCCTCCTCTTTGCTCCTCCTGCTCCTCTCTCCCTACCCTGTTCCTTTCTCCCTCTCCTGCTCCCCTCCCTGCTCTCCTCTTTCTGCTCCTTTCTCTGCTCTTCTCCTCCTGCTCTCCTCTTCCTGCTTCTCTCCTCTCCTCTCCTCCTGCTCCTCTCTCTTGCTCCTCTCTCCTACACGGTGTCCCTTTACCATTGCAGTTTTCCAACGTCCTCTTCCTCCGTCTTTAGGACTGTAAGAAGAGTGGCCGAAGACGCCGATCTGTCCGCTACCTGCGTGATGATGGACCCCCAGCACTGATCACCATGGCCTGGACCAGTTAGGTAAGGCGGAGCTTATTATTTACATAGGAGAAGATCTTGGCTACATCAGTCCTGTAGGAGGTGGGACTTGGTATCCTAGAGTCAGGTTTTTCTTCATTCCCCTAAGTGGACTTGAGTTGAACCGATGAACCTGACCCCCAATTTTCACCGCATCCTGAACGGCCCCGATCCAGAGCGGCGTCAATTTTTGCCGTCAGCCATTTCCTACCGGATCCGTTTGTGAGGTGAATTTCGTGGCAGATTACGGACAGCGGTAAACAGGAGAAGTCCATGTAGATTCTTAATCATCCAAGTCATGGTTCTCTTGTAGACTCCAAAATCAGGCAACTCTACACAGTCCAGTTGCCTGATTTTGGAGTCTTCAAGTAATCAGGAGAACTCACAAGAACCTGTGGATTCATGTTCAATCTCACGATAACGAGTTGTCTCTATAAAGACAGACACATAGACATATAAGCAGTAGATTGTGTCCTTCCAGAGGAGGAAATCTACTTCTAGACTTCTAGAATCAGCATCTCCTCATCCATGGTGTCATCGGGGTGAAATGACGTCTAAAAACCTTTCACTTGTTCGTCTCCGCCCGTTTGCATGGTGTAAAATACGATCCTCCTGAAACACGGAGTGTTTTATTTTGAAAAGAAGCCGGATGTTTTATTTTGTGTCTGTGCCCGACTTCCTTTCCAGCACGGGTTAATCTGTGCTGAATTTATCCGCCATGCTCCGGCGTCCAGAAAAAATAGAACTCTTGTGATCAGCTGAGGAGTCCGGCGATCCGCAGAGGAACGGAAAGAAGTCGGTGTAAATTGACACGTTAACTTGAATGGTTACGATCAGCTACGATCGGAGGATACGACCTTTTAGGAGACGATCAGGATGAAGGTGGAGATTAGGGGTTAGTGTTCCTGAGAACAAAGTGAGAGATTTCCTTCTTTCCAGGTTTGAGACTCGGCCTCAAGTCCAACATAGTGGTTCAAGTCTGGATGTGAGTTTGAGGAGAAACCATCAGTCACAGTTTCCTCTGTTGTCTTCTCAGGTTTTCTGCACGGTGACTCGGACTGACCTTCAGGCTCTGATCCCTGACTCTGGCTTGGTCCTGATCCAGAGTGTGGCTTCACACCCTGCTCTAGAAACTTCCTTCTGGTTTGCCTACATGTTGAAGTGTGTGGGCTTCACCCTGAATTCTGCTGCTCCTTATACGAGTAAAAATCCAATCAGTGATCAGAAATCTTATAACACTGAAGTTTGGAGTCAGTGAGAGGATTGAGGATTGTGCTGACGCCACAGTGTGAGGTTCAAAATGTCGATTTGTTTTCTTCTTTTTTTGATGGTGACTCTTCCTGTCAGCATGTGTCTGTAACATCATGTTTCCTGTGAGGAGCAAACACATGTAAACTGATCTGAGGTCCAAATCTCTGAGTCCTCACCGGAGCAGAAAAGTCCAACAAGCTCAGTCAGAATAATGCTGACCTGATTCATGCTGTCATCTTCTCTCTCTTTGTTTTCTTTCTACTGTAAGCATCAAAAGATTTAAAAAAAATAATAAAAAGGTACGAGGGAAATTCAGAGTCTGGAGAATTTTGTTCAATCATCACAGCTTTCTAAATATCCTGATTCTACTCAACTCTGATGGGTCCTTCAATCTGGACTTCAGTCTCAGGAGTGGTTGCTGTTTTTTGGGTCCCAGCAGTGAAATCGGGTGACTTAGCTAAGAAGGTTCATGGGAGGATCAGGGTTCTTCTGTAAATATCACACCTCATTTTGAACAAACTCAAAGAGAGAAGGATCAGATCTTCACAACACGCCTAACATGAGGAAAAGAAATGCTCAGAACTTGTTTCAGAGGATGTTATACCGTTGCGACAACCCGCACGCACACACAAACCCACATAGCAAACCAGTGTTAAGCTAGCTCTCTCTCACTCTGATTTACAAAGTGCATACACATGGAAAAGTCACAAAGTCCATCTCCCGTCAAAATATTTAGAACAACCAAACTATAAAAAAATTAGATGTGTGCACATTGTCAAATGTATTTAGGGTCACATGTGCACATTAAAAAAATAAGCTGAGGCAACAAATGTTTTTTTTCCAGTAAATACGGCAGTGAAGTTAGTTTCAGGTTGGATATATTTTCCTGTAAATACGGCGGTGAAGTTAGTTTCAGGTTGGATATATTTTCCTGTAAATACGGCGGTGAAGTTAGTTTCAGGTTGGATATATTTTCCTGTAAATACGGCGGTGAAGTTAATTTCAGGTTGGATATATTTTCCTGTAAATACGGCGGTGAAGTTAGTTTCAGGTTGGATAAATTTTCCTGTAAATACGGCGGTGAAGTTAGTTTCAGGTTGGATATATTTTCCTGTTAATACGGCGGTGAAGTTAGTTTCAGGTTGGATATATTTTCCTGTAAATCCGGCGGTGAAGTTAGTTTTAGGTTGGATATATTTTCCTGTAAATACGGCGGTGAAGTTAGTTTCAGGTTGGATATATTTTCCTGCAAATACGGCGGTGAAGTTAGTTTCAGGTTGGATATATTTTCCTGTAAATACGGTGGTGAAGTTAGTTTCAGGTTGGATATATTTTCCTGTAAATACGGCGGTGAAGTTAGTTTCAGGTTGGATATATTTTCCTGTAAATACGGCGGTGAAGTTAGTTTCAGGTTGGATATATTTTCCTGTAAATACGGCGGTGAAGTTAGTTTCAGGTTGGATATCTGACGGACATTCTCTGAGGATCTACCGGTGTCTGCTCACTCTCCATAACCAGGAATAACAACAGCATCGGTTAAATCTACTCGACACCCTCACTGTCAACGTCAGTGTTGAATAAGGGACCGTCAATAAATTACCGGTTGATGTTCTCAGAAAAGGCTGTTTTCCTTCAATAGCTTCACTGTCATGTGACCAAAAGACCAAAGATTGATTTCAAACAATAGTACATATGTAGACTAATGAGACAAACATTATTGGATCAATTTTCATTGATCCCCTAAAGTTCTTAGTGTACTCCTTACTTACCAGCAACACTGACCTCTCACAGTCAAACTCCAAGCAGACAGAGGAGGGGGCAGAAACAAGTAGTATATCCTCTTACAGCCACCAGAGGGCGTTGCAATGCCACTAATACAGTACCTAAAATAAAGACTCAAAAATTCAGGGAATTTTGGTCAAATTAACCCTCAATAAAGCAAAATGAAGACACATCATTTTTATAAAGCAGATATAAAGTTACATGTCACTAGTGTGTCAGTTGATATTAAACATGACTGTCAGCAAAGAAGCAACAGGAGTTCAACTGTCTGTCTATAACTCTTCTGACCGTCTTTGTGCTGTTGTCAACTGATACTCAAGAAACTATCAGTGCATGCTCAACTTCGACATGAACCAAGGCACAGAGGAGAGGATACAACTGCACAACAGTTTCTGCTTTTTCCTCTGCTCTGCTTACGGACCAAGCAAATCCGGATGCAGCAAAGGAAGCCTTTTCCACACAAGGTGTTCTCATTGAATGACATGACAACATATTACACAGCATAATGGGATCTCTGCAGGAACTCCATCAGCTACGTCTGCTACTGTGCACCAGGTGGCGCCTCTAACCCAGTGGTCACCAACCCTTTTAAGCCCAAGATCACCTACCTCAACTTTGGTGCGAGGCAAGATCTACCTATTGAAGCGCTGATAGAAAAAAAGCCAAATTGCTGGTTTAGTGCCCTATTTCATATTTCTGTTGGTGTGCATTAATTCATTATGGATTATACATGGTTTCATTGCATTTGCACTGGGCAAAACATGCAATTACACGCTGACAAGTTGTCAATTACATGTTTTATCCAGTAGGTGACTCTACTTGTGTGTGAACACAATGTTCACTCACATATGCCGAATGTTCACACACAGGTAGAGCCACCTACTGGACATATAGCATACAAATTAAGGCTGCACGATATTGGAAAAAAATAATATTGCGATTTTTTCAACCCTGCGATATATATTGCGATATTAAAAATACAGTATTTTCACCAGATGACCTGAATAGCACTTAATGTTATGCTGCACTGCTGAAATCTTGAGGACAGTTAATCTGCTCTGATCTTACCTCTTTTTGTGAATGTTAGTAGAACGGCTTCTGTCTGTCTCAGAGATATTTTTAGCTTTTATTGTGCTGGGACGTTATTGTGGCAACAGGTGAACACAGAAGACGTGTTTTGGTCGACATCATCCTACTTTTAACCGAAATAATTCCAGATAACTGACTTTCCTTTTCTTTTTGGCAACAAATCTTCATTTTCGGTGGTTTTCTCTTGTTCGTTGTTCATTTTGCGATCGTTGTTGTTGTTGTTAGCGGTGTTGTGCCGAGAAACGCATGTCCTCCGAGAATTGCATGCACCTCGCAAAACGCGCACTGCTTATAGTAGAGTGGTCCACGGAAATGTACAATTTAAAACCCATACAGTTCTTATTTGTTGGGCTTAACAGTCATGAGTAAAGTTCCGAAAGTAATTCTCAGCGGACACACGTCTCCCTCCATGTGCAGAACATGTGCAGGGGTGGGTTTTCTCCTCCCTGATTTTGATTGACAGCTGGCAGGGTAGTCTGATTGGCAACTGAGTTAAGGACGAAGGCGATTGGTGGATCGCTGCACAGCACATGCAGAGTCACATGGAGTGTATCTCAGTCGGTTACCCTTGAAATTAAATGAGTTCATTCACCTCCAATATCGCAGGCTCTGCGATGTGACTATCGCACACACGTACATCGCGATGACGATAGTCAAACGATATATCGTTCAGGCCTAATACAAATTGAAAAAAAAATCAGATTATGTCACTTCAAGGTTTCAAATATAATGTAATTGTCACACACAAAAATGAAGATAAAAATGTTTGAGTGAACTGACATTCTGAATATTCTCATAATCAAATATATCTAGCCAACCATGAGCATTTTATAAAAATACAAAAAGACAGAGAAAAGAACTGTCCTCTCATTGCAGCATCATTAGGTCTACATTGGCATTCAAACTTGAATCAGTGTGACGGCTGTGACTGGATGCTGTTTGTGAGTGATTTGACGTTTGGCTCATAGCTACTGACAGCCAATCTGAGGCAGTCTGTGAGGTGATCATCACCTCCGGGGAGGTCATTCTGACAAAAATAACAAGCCGAGCAGTGTCCATTATATCCTGGGATTCACCAAACTGGAGTGAGAAGTATTCACAGTCCGTTAAGTCCCGCAACACTTGTCTATCCACGTCCTCGGACAGAGATTCCACCCGCCTTGTCACAGTTGTGGGGCAAAGTGAAACACTGCGGGGTGCAGACTTGATTTCTTCTTTATTTTTGAAATCCCTGAACATGGTCTCTGCTGTGATGGCCATTGCTTCCTTCACAATTTCTCCGTCCGTAAAGGTTTTTTTTCGATTAGCTAACAGGTGACTCACGCGAAATGAAACTTCTGTGGCAGCTTCGTTTAGAGCGGCAGGTTTAGAGAAAAGGCATTGCTGGGTTTACAACCCCGATTTGAGTTCTTCCACTTTCTTTGCCCAGAGTCTGCTTTTTGGCGGGTAGCTATCCTGGAATTTCGGGTGGGTTTTGGTGCGATGGCGCTCCAGGTTGCCAACGCTTGTGTTTGACCACACAACATACAAACACACTTGTCTTTTACCGTAGTAAAAATGAACTCCTCCTCCCATTCTGTGTCGAAATGATACGTTTTTGGCTTCTTTCGCTGTCGTTTGTTCACTTTCCTATTTGTTTGTGACAGTTAACGTTGGTTGACGTTCACGCGCTAGCTAAAGATCCAGACGTCATCACGCTATGCGCGTGCAAAAGATTGAAGTTGTTTCCCCTTGTTTTCCCCTCCAAATATACTCGTGGCTTCTAGACTGATAATTTCATTGAGAGAAAGAGGCGTTCACAAACTGGAACAATTAATAGACAAGGAGCCCAATAAATTGTATATTTTGGGTATCTTTCTGAGATCGACTGGGCATGTCTGAAAGATCGACCGGTCGATTAAGATCAACACATTGGTGATTCCTGCTCTAACCCCTCTAGCTTACCTGCTGCTGTGAGTAGTTCTCCTGAGTCTGCTCCCCTCCCCCCAAACAAGGAGCCGTCTGTTCCTCCTCCTGAGTCTTATGCGGGGGGCTTTAGGTTCTTGTGGGCGGGTTTTACTTAATTGTTCTCTAGTTTTGGATTTACAACCTTTGAGTTACTCTTCTGATGAAGCCTGCTGTTAGCCCAACAGTTCTGGGACACTGTGCATACCATCTAGCCCCAATATACACCAACATCTTCAATAACTCTCTCTGCCAGTGCAAGGTACCCTAGTGCGTCAAGGACTCTATTATCATTCCGGCACCAAAAGGCGATAATAGATCCGGTCTCTGTAGCTGCATTTCCATGACATTTGTTTGCAAAATAAAAGTGATGTTTATCAAATTTCGACAAAGTACAATTGCGATTTGCGGGTGTTCAGTGCATAAGCGAGCCGTCTGCCTCTCGCGAGCTGTGTTTGAATGGCCGTTGCCTAGCAACGAGGTAAACTTCCTGCCCGTGCGACCTCGTATTCCTCAAGCCTTTTTGCACACCAACATGGAGGAGATACAAAACATTTTGCGTTTTGGAGCAGCTATTTCTGTGACCATTACTGCTGTTGCCGCCGCTGTCATCAGAAGACGAAGGCAGCGGGTGATAATTCAAAGGCAAAGCCCGTTTGTCTGGGAGCGGACACGGAGGAGGGATTTCTGGGAGAGGATCGTTAATGAGGAATTCACAGACGAACTGTGGATTCAAAACTTAAGAAATAACTCCGTCTCCTCCCCCGTCCACACATACCGCGCCATCTTTGCTTGAAATGAACTGGTCACATGACCCGCTATGTCACGTCCGGTGACAGAGAATTGTGAGAATAGTGTTTCCATTACACTTTTGTGATATACTTCTATATCGACACGTCTGAAAAACCACCTCATGAGAGCGTAAAAACTTTTTAGCGATATTTGGGAGGTTTTTCGAAATGTAGGTGTTTCCATTACCAGTTTTCTATTGCGATATTTAGGTTTTGCGCAAATCTATGGGTAATGGAAACGCAGCTAATGACTATAGACCAATCACCCTCACATCCGTCCTCATGAAGTCATTCAAACGCATCATTCCCTCTCACCTGCAAAAACTCACCACGCCCCTAGTGGACAGTTTACAGTTTACATAGTGGGCCAATAGGTCTGTGGAGGATACAGTCCAGGGTTTTTCCTGCGTTCAAAATTGCGTGGCGGCCGCCTCCACCTAATTTTGTGCCGCCCCCAGCCAGAGCGATTGATTTCGCTCAACACAGCGTAAAGCTCCAGCTGTGTTGATTGAGCGATTGATGTCCCGATGCAGCAGCAACGTATTTTAACTGCAGTTGCAGCGCTGCGCCACTATAGAGGCGCTATATCAACGGCAGTGCACCGGAAAGACCTGAAGCATCTACCGAAGAAGAAACGGATTGAATCATGTTTTTTCAAGTTTTTTTCCCGCTAGTTGGTGCTGTCGGCGTCCTGATTTTCCCTGGCGGATGGTACAAACAGGTAAATACTGCTTCTCTTTTTTGCATCCAAGCATGTCGTGTTTATTTAAAAACAAACAAAAAAACTTTACTCCGTTTTTAGCGTTGCAGTTATGACAGGCAAAATCAGCCAGTACTTTAAAAAGCGACCTCGCGAGGAGGAAAGTCAAGAGTCCAGGTGAAACACAGCAGAGAAAAAACGTAACAGGCAGTTAAAATGCTATAATTCATGGTGTACTGAAAGTACTTCACAAGGGACTGGTGATCGCGAGGGTCAGAATGCAGGACAGGACGAGTCGGCGAGGCGAGGGTAATTAATTAATTAGTTTCCAATTAGGAGCATAACAACGCAAAGCCGACGTGTACGTGGTTTTTATTCCTCTTTCCAGATCTTCTCAAAAACACAGAGCCAGTGGCTTTGACAAGCAATGGCTCAATCAATTTACCTGGCTCAGGCATACTGAGGAAGGCATGCACTGCTGTTTATGCCAAAAGCACTGTGCCCCAACACAGCAGGCAATTGCTGCCTCCTTAGTGAGACAGCCATCAACCAACTACAGGCTGGACACATTAAAAAGACATGAGGTGACAGCCGTTCACAAAGCAGCAGAAGAGAAGGAGAAATATATTAAAGATGGTAGTACCTAAAAAACTCAACTAATAAAGATACAAAAAATAAAATAACATAGTTTAGATAGTTTAAGAAATAATTGGTTGTTGTTTTTTTTTTTAGGGAGGACACTGCAGCGTATACATATATATATAATATATGATTGAAAACACTATCACTCTTCATGTCTGTATCAGAATAAAAACAAAAATGCTTAATGCATGATGAATTGTTTTGTTTAAGGTGAAGACACCTCTGTGGAACAGACTGAAGGAGAGGCACTTGGATGTCTGTTGTAAGGTGGCCGTTGATGGACCAGACCAGGAGGCCTTGGACTACAAGGAGTGCATGAGGAGGTTCTACAGAATGAAAAAGAGGAGGCTGAAATGTTCTGTCTGGTTGTGAGATGTGTGGATGAAGTGTACTTTCAATTTAAAGTTGCCAGCTGATTTGTGTATGTATATAGTTTTAATAAATTAATGCTTTAACATGATAATGGTCACACTCTTTTTTGAACTCTTAACTTAAAGTATGTTGCCTGTAAAAGAAAGTGAATCGGTTGAATTTACAAATACATGCACGTCGTGGCGCATGGTCAGGATGGTGCCACCTCTGCCTCAATTTGAGCCAGGAAAAACCCTGGTTTACATAGTGGGCCAATAGTTCTGTGGAGGATACAGTCAACTTGGCATGCCACAGGATACTTCACCATCCCGAGTCCTATCACACCTACACCCGTGCTCTGCTTATGGATTTTAGCTCCGCCTTCAACACCATCGACCCAGTCAGTCTCTGTAACAAACTCATGGACATGAACACTGATATCGCCCTGTGCCTCTGGATTAGGAGCTTCCTGTCAGAAAAGACATAAAGGGTCAGGGTGAGCGGCCTCTTACCCCAACCCCTGACCATCAGCACCGGTGCCCCTCCAGGGCGTGTCCTATCACTCTGGCTGCTCTCCCTTTACTCAAACATGCTCACATCTTCACACAACTCAATATCCATCCTTAAATACGCAGATGATACAACAATAACTGGACTCATCCCTGACAATAATGGAACCCATTACTGTGCTCCGGTCACCCGAGCAGTCACTTGGTGTCACAACAATAACCTTCAGCTCAACACGTCAAAAACCAAGTTCACCGAGCTCACAATAGACTTCTCACGCTCAGCCAGAACAGCCCTTTCTATCAACTCCGAGGCCATAACCATCAAGAAATAGTAGTTTCTCTGGAGTTTTGGTTGTTGTCTTTTGCTAACCATCCAATTCAGTCTTTATCGACAAGTCTTACCAATTTCTTTCTAAATGGGGTCGTTCACTTCTTAGAGGACTGTTTGAGTATTATCAGTAAATGAGGACAGCCTGTTCTGTACACCTGTGCTGTTTGTGCTCCTCCATCTCCTGATCTCACAGACAAACACGTCCCAGTCCTAATTTAAATATAAAGACATGTCAGCGCTCATGTCTCCAGGTGATGCTCTGGAAACTTCACTTGTTTGATGACATTCTTCTGAATGTATCATACATGACTCTGTCGGTATGTTCCCGGACTAAAAACATGTTTGAAACATATGTTTGTCACCCTTCTGAAGATTTCGAACCTGTCGCCTGGAGTTAATTTGTGTGTATTGTTAAAAGTGACTTGATAATTATATCATGTGGACAACTGTCTGTGTACTGGATTATGCTCGGCATGCATTCATGCTGGAGTCTCAGAGAACACGCTCTTTCTAAAGAACAGATCAGTCACTTCTACAACTATCATGTTTGCTTTCCATCCTCACCGGCTTGTGCAACGTTTAATCCCACATTCACTGTAGTGATGAGAGGCAGAATATCATATGTTTGTGCATCTTGTGATCATGTGTGCCCCGCTCCAAAAATGACTTCATTTAGGTTTCAAAGCAGCAAGATGAGGAGTGAGGTTAAGATGACTTCTTAAGGCAGCATCGTATCGAGAGCAGCTTTGCTTAAGATACGCGGCGAGTCTATTTTTGCTGCTCTACACTTCCAATGTGTGTCGATCCACACAGAGAAGATTGTTCTCGACAGGAAGTCAAGCACGAAAACCGCGCATGTCATCGGGTATTTAAAAATAAGACCCCATCTGTGAACTCCTGACTGTGTATCAGTTGGTGTGGATGAGAAATCCTTCCTGGTTCTGGATTTATCAGGAACACAGAACAATCCGACGGTTGATCCCTGATCCATGTGGACCCCAACAGGACTTTGACCTGCTAACTCTGTCTGAAGGAAACAGCAGAAAGGAACAGAGTTTACTTTCTTAAACACCAGGAAACCTGCAAAAACACAAACTGTAAAATCACTTACAGCTTTTTCGCAGACAGTCGAGGATCAACAGTCTCTGAGTTATATCAGAATTATCAGGAAATCGACCACAGAGAGTAGGGTTGGGTATCGTTTGATTTTGAACGATTCCGATTCCAATTTCGATTCCTCATTTCGATTCCGATTCCTATCGATTCTCTAATTCGATTCTTTTAAAAGGCAGGATATCAAAAAGAAAAAAGAAAAAAAAAGCATGGTTTGAATGAGGGTGCTAACCGACTTCTCCATGAATTTTTAAATCCTATTAACTTTTTAAGAACTTTACTATGAATTTCTCACAGAGCTATTTTCAACCAGTATATAAATATCAATTTTTGTTTTCAGGTCGTTTGTCTATGAAAAAGTACAAGGGTTAACGTTAAGTGGATATTTAAGTTTACTCACCGTACACAGTTCAATTTCTTTACCGTTTCAATGTTAGCAGAGGACAGAAGTCATTTATTGTTTCACTTATCTGATCCTGACTGGTTAGCGGAAGACAGGTGTTGTGCTGTAGAATGCACCCCTGCCGTAGAATGCCTCCCCTCCACTGATTAGCTTCTTAGTGGAAGAGATATATGATCTCATATTTAATAAAACAAGGGTATTAGATCATGAAAACGTGTCGAATGGAGCAGTAAACTTTCGTTTTGTTTGTATGTGTCTCAAAATGCACACATAAAGGTGTACTTGGGTATATAAACTGTAGAGTAAGCTGTTAATGTAGAGAACATAATATTTTCAGGACAGTAAATATTCAGAGTCAGAGGGCTATTGTTTTCGGCATATCTGAATAGCCTGAATGAAATCATTAAAGGCACACGCTTTAGATTCCGTCCAACGGTAAGAAAAACTTGGATTGTTTCGCCTTGTTGTGTACTTTCAACCGCGCTCCCGTCAGGGGTGCATTCTACGACACAACACCGGCGAAGCGCGTCAAAGACGAGCACTCGGGTATTTCTCCTCCATGAATCCTGAGGTGTTTAATCATGTTGGTCGTTTACCCTCCTTTGCATGATATAACTGTACTGCTAATGTTGCATTGAGATAAGAGCTCATTCTTCCTGCTAAAGTTAGCCAAACTTTTGACCAACGAAGAAGAAGCTGCCGAACACCAACGAGGACGGAGCGTATGAGACGAAGTCACACATGAGAGGAGAGAGACAGAGAGAGATTGTAACCCACAGCTGCTGCATTGCTGTGGGTTGCAATGTACTTTCTCTCTCTGTCTCTCTCCTCTCTCTGTGTGGCTTCGTCTCATACGCTCCGTCCTCATTGGTGTTAAGCGGCTTCTTCTTCGTTGATTTTCGGCGGCTATTTCTTCCGGTCGGCGGACTCTGGCATCGAAATTTTAATATTTGAACGATACCGGAAGAATCGAAGTTTTAGTCCCGATTCCCATCGATTCTCGATTCTCGATACCCAACCCTAACAGAGAGGAAAAATAAGCTGTTGTGAGCATGGATGGGGAGCAAATACCGAACGCGCTCAATACAGATCCTGTATGTTTTGGGCTTTACGGTTTAGCAGCAGCAGCAGCTTACACAAAGGGCCAATGTCTGTGTATGCTTTCATTCAGTCAGGTCACCCGAGGTTTAACCTTGAAGTTGTTGTGCCCTTCCAAAGTCCTCAATAACCCACGCCCCCGATCCCGTGACCACATCAGCCCTGTCCTACAAGAACGCCATCGGCTCCCCATCCTCTTCCTCACCTACAAAAGTCCAAACCAAAAGGCCCCCCTTAGCGTACCAACCCCCTTCACTATCATGTACCCTCCACCCTTCTAATACCAACCTCCTCTCCCTACCAGCCTTTTTCATAGCCGCCCCCTCCCTCTGGAATTGTTTTTTTTTGTTTGTTTTTTTCATAAATGAAATGTATTATTATCATTATTATTATTATTAGACCTTTGGCAGGCTTCTGTGGTCCTACTGACAGGGGACAGAGGCAAGCTTAGATCCACAGACTGTGTAATGAATGGACGCCGTCTGCCTCCTCGCTTGGTGAAGCCACTCTGAGAACAGCGCCCTCTGGTGACGGGCTGCAGTATAGGTCATAAACCCCGCCTCCTTATGGAGCTGTGGACAAACTTTATAAATGAATGACACAGAATATAAATGTTTCTCCCCCCTGGTTGTCAGACTGGTTTGTGCTCAAGTCCTCTTTTTTCTGTACAGCTCCATTTTTAAAAGTTATTAGGGGGTTCATGTTTTCTATGATTGACACCTGATACAGCCAATGGAGAGATTGAGTAGATCACCGGGGGATACGCTGTTTGAGCCGAGCGTCATCACAGCGACTCTCATGCCGATTGCGAACAACGCTACTGTGCAAGTGGTGGTTCAAGGAAGTGGAGAAAATCCTGGAAATAATGAGAGAAATTTGACTCCAAACTTACAGCCTATGCTTAAAACCCACAGGATGCAGCAAATACCCTTCTGTTCTAGCTGGTCATCCTGTCTGCACAGGATACACACTGAGTCACAGAGTCCAGCACAGGTAGAGCTAAACCTACAAGATCGACCTTGACAGGATGTCAAGCACAAGACGGGTGCATTTCATTTGGTAAGTGTCTGCTGACTTCCAACTGCATATCGGATTGTTTAGAAATGCTCCTTAGTTATGGATTTATGAACACAGAACAGCCTCATGGCCAATCCCTGATCTATGTCAACCACAACACAACGCTGTTTTTCTGTTGTTCACAGATGACACAGCCTTTGTCGGGAACAAACTGGAGGGTCTACAGGAAGGTCATTGTGGACTGTGTCAGCTGGTGTCAGCTAAACCACCTCCAGCTCAACACCAGCAAGACCAAGGAACCGAAGGATCAACTTCTGCAGAAAGACACCCAACCTGCACCGGTGATACCAGATACCTGATGACCTGGGAGGTCAACTGAGAGTTGTTGGCAGAGTCACCGACTGAGTGTGGGTCACCTGATCGTCGGACAGATGGTTCTGGTTTGGCATGTTGTATTTGCTCTCAAATGTTCGCTGCTTTGGACAAAAGTGTCCACTAAATGACTTGATGACTAAGAATGGGAATCGAGAACCAGTTCTTGTTGAGAACCGGTTCCAAATGGTTCAATCCATCGTCATCATTTACATTTTATCTTAATGATTCCCTTAACGATTTCTTTCTTGTGGGTGCCTTGAAAAACGGTCTTGCGAGTGCCAGTCTACGCAAACAAGAACAGAGACAGAGACAAAATCATGGCAGACGGTACGACGGTACTTAATTTTTCCAGGAAAGACAACAACAGCACAACGTTTGTCGAGCAGTGAGAACATGCAAAGGTGGAAACACCAGCAACACGCCTCAACATTTGTCCATAGGGAACAACATCAAATCTAAGGAGTCACATGTATTCCATGCTCTCCTCCGGTCATCAGTCGCTCCAGCTCCGTCTCAGCGCGGCATGGAAGGTACATATGATAGGGTGACCATACGTCCTCTTTTACCCGGACATGTCCTCTTTTGGGGGGCTGTCCGGGGGGAGTTTATAAAATCCTTCAAACGTCCAGAACATGTTTTCATTCACTATAAAAGGGTGCAGCGCATCACTGCTCT